AGATAATCATATTTATTAAATTTTTCTTTAAATTATTTTCTAATTATTAAACATATATATTGTATATACGTATAAATGTCTGTGTTAGTATGAAAAGTTAAATGATATATATATATATATATATATTAATAAAAAAAAATATAATGAAGATAATATTATTAAACGTTTAGAATCGTCAAAATCGTGTAATAGTAAAAAATTAAAGGAATATTACTTACAATATTATTGTGTCTATTAGAATGTGTATACTAAAGGATGTTCACCTATATATATGTGTACGGTTACGTTTCATAAACATACATGAGCCCATGTGGTAGGGATATTTATCGAGAACGTTTAGTAACCTTCAGTAAAGCTCATTGTGTTAGTCGTCATTTAATCTTCTATTAGAATGGATCGATATACTTAAAAGTACGTAAATTACACTTAATTATTATTTATTACTGTATAATATTAAATTCTAATGCAATTTCGATTACCCCGTTCTCCCCTTTGTATTTAAAAATAATGCACGGTGTGTGTGTGTGTGTGTGCGCGTGTGATCATTTTAATAGGTCTTATGAAAAAAGAAATCTAAAACAAATAAGTCTTGCATTATTTTTCAAACACATAAACAAAATATAAAATCCACTTCAATCGAGAAATATTAATTAAAGTAATTAATTCATTCATTGATTCATTCATTCAAAAATCAATAATATTAAATGTTGCGTTTTATATTCTTCTTAAAAAAAATAATTATCGTTAATAAGAAATAATACGTTGATAGAAAAATAGGATAGAAAAAAGATGATGAAGAAGAAAATAAAAACAAACAGTGTTGTCACGCGTAATAATCATCGTTAAAAGTCCAAAAATTAAATTTAGTACGGTGTTAAAAAGCCAAAGGCGTCATAGTAATTGCTCGAATGCTTAAAAAAAAAAAAAATAATAAAAAAAAAAGGGACAACAAGCAAATTGATTTTTATCTTTTAGAATAGAAGCCACATAGGACGTTTCCTGTGTTCTGTGTTGCATCGAAAACGTTAACCGAGTTTCCTTTAGAAAAAAGGTATCTTTCTCACTCTCTCTCTCTCTATTTCTCTCTCTCTTTCTCTTTCCTTTTTTTCTTCTTTTTCTCTTTTACTGTTTTCCGTAAAATTAGGAATTCTCGATCAGATAAGAAGGCACGTATAAGTGAATGGGATAGAAAGAGAGAGAGAGAGAGAGAATGGAAATGGAAAGAAGAGAAAAAACGGACACCTCGTTGGTTATCTGTCTCACACCTTTTATTTATTCATTTTCCTTTTTTTTCTTTTTTTTTCTTCTTCACCTCCCGTCCGGTTTACAATGACCTGTAAATTAGTTTCAAAGCTCGACCATTTCTTTTCTTTTAATCTAGGAATTGTAAATTTTGTTTATCTCACTCACTCACTCACTCTCTCTCTCTCTTTTTTCTTTTTTTCTTTTCATTCTAACTTTCTTTTTTTTTTTCTTATTTAGACCACCCACGTTCACTCTCTAAGGGTATTATGTATATATATAATATATTTAAGTGACCACGTGCGACCGGATTTTGCTTATCTTCGATACAGGAGTCCTCTCATTTCTTTTCTTTCTTTAAAACCCTCCCCCCCTCCCTCCCTCATTTATTTTTCTTTATCTTTTATTTATTTTTTTATACCTATTTTTCTTTTTTTATCTTCTTTTTATATACCTTTTACCTCCCCTCGGCCAAACTTAACCAAAAAGAATCAGTGTGTGTGTGTGTTAAAGGGGAATAATAGATATTATATATTTAAGCGTTTCAAATTCATTTATATTATATTGTTCGTTAATAATAAATTTTAATTTAAGCATAAACAATATTACATAACGATATAAGATATTTAATCGTAGAAAAATATCGTGTCGTAGAAAATCATGTGTTTAAATCGTAACTTTTTGGGATCTTCGTGAATTTATTCAATATCTCTCGTCTCGGCTATATTATAATAATATTGATAATAATAATAATAATAATAATAATATAATAATTATTATTATTATAATTATTATAATTATAATTATTATATTATTATATATAATAATCATAATATAATAATATAATCAACAAGCGAACACACTAGCAACAATCCTTAT